ATTTCCAGTTATAGTTCAGATTTAGATATGACTGAGGCTTTGTAAAGAGGAAAATGGCTTGAGGAAAATGAGAGCTTCTCAAAATTAACTAATCTCCATATGCCAAAATGGCTACAAGGAGCTCTCAAATAAGGTTACACTTTAAAAGAACAATTACTTTAAGATAGAAGAAAGAACATCCCTAACTGAGAATTAAGAGTGACTTCAGTTGTCAGAACTCCTGATGCTGCACTAGCTACAGGAGCAATTAACACAGGATGACGATCATACATTTGCCTTTGAGCCTTCAGTTTTGATGCTGTGCTCCCCAAATTTCTCTCTGTTCTAAGAGGTTTAGGTCCGCTTAGGCACTTCTGTTGTTTTGTTCTGCTGCTTCCACACTGTCCATACTCGACTTTTCGAGTATGGGAGAAGAGTTCAAGTTCAGTGATTATGGCTTATTCAGCGAAACTTAGGATGGTCTGAGTTTAAGGTAATCTTCGTTCTTTTGAAAACCACTTTTATTTTCAACATTTTGATCTTATCCTAAGGACACAAGTCATTAAAGAATCTTGAGTCAGGAAAGTAACATTATCTTGTTTGTTTGGTTTTTTAAGCTTTACTCTAACTACAATGTGGGGAATGGATTAGAAGTTAGAAATGGTAAGAGATGGAGGCAGAGAGACCAGTCAGATCATCATTGTACTAGTCCACCTGAGAGATGGTAGGGGACCAGAACTAAAGTAGAGTCCGTGGGTTTGAAGAGAAATGTATGAAGACCAAAGATTTAGGAGGTAGAAGCAACAAGGGACTTCCCAGGTGGCAGAATAGTAAAGAATACTTCTGCCAATGCAGGAGACACGAGTTCAATTCCTGGGTCAGGAAGATCCCCTGGAATAGGAAATGGCAACCCACTGTAGCATTCTTGTCTGGAAAATTCCATGGACAGAGGACCCTGGCAGGTTACAGTTTATGGGGGTGCAAAGAATTGGACATGACTGAGCAACTGAGCATGAGAAGCAAAAAGACTGAACAATGGCATAAAACTCAGATTTATAGATATCACTTAACTTCCTAACACTTGGCTATTTTAATGGTCGTCTAAGAGGTGTTGAAAAATGGTTAAAGTCTTGATTTTTCAAACAAATTGTTTAATTGTCAGATGAGCAGTAGCAAATACTTATTTTGTTGAGGAGAAATTTGCTAGCTTTCTTAACAGTAATAGTAACATTTTCTTAAGTTAGGTCAATGAATTTAATAATCTTATAAAGCCCCATTCCTCTATTTCTAGTATATGAGGATGCTCACACAATGAATATTTACTGAGTGCCTGGGTAACAGATTGTTCTTTATAAAACAAAGCAAAACAAAAACACAGAAGCAGCAGGAAACTGACAGAATTAAAAGAGAAAAGAAATATTTTCTATAATTTATTTGGAGCTATGAAAGTTATTGAAGTATAATACATGCCTCGAACATTTCCAAACAGCTGAGATTAATTTTTATGCCTTAGCAAGATAATGCATGGTGGTGAAACATATAAGGTTCACTGATTTTGAATATTCTATTCAAAATATCTTGAAAGAAAAAAGACTGTGCAGTCAACTTTTGAACTAGTAGAATGAATGAAGTATAAAGGAGAATAAGCAAAAGAGATGCTTCGATATTGTATAAACATGGAATTCAATTTTCTTCCACAAAATATTCAACTTAATTTTAGGTGTTATTAATTAAATTTGCCTGTATTAATAAGCAGTTTTAAAAACTTTCCTGCTCTCAGAGAAGCTAGCTAGAAACAGTCTTAATTCTGAATTTAGAAATGTTTCCAGTTACATATATCCTTATGTCAATATATAGGACATGCAACTGAACATCTAGAATATCCTTATTAGTTGAGTAATATATAATAGGAATGATATGAATAATTTTTAGAGAAACATCTCATAGATATTATCCAATTGTGCTTTCGTTCATTTGAATGTGATTATTTTGAAAAAGGTCTTAGTCCATAATGTCCAACCCTTTATGTTTATTTCCATTTGCACCATCCTTTAGAGGCTATCTTTTTTAGGAAGATTTTTTTTTTTGGTATCTGCATTTTGTTTATGCTACACATGCCAAATAAATCTCCCAAGATGAAACTCTGAGCTCATTTGGAAGTAATTTTTGGTAGTACATGAATCAGAACTCTTATTTTCTTCTCAGCACTACTGGTATTTTATTGTTTCCATCTATAGTCCACTATGCTTTAAAGTGCCAAGAACCCTAAGGCCAAACACACAAAGCACTAAGAAAATGGGAACTTTTGGCAATGACAACTTTGGCCTCTCTTTCAGGGCTATTCCCTCCCCTGGGAGAGTAAAATCACTTTAAGTGCACTATGAAACAGGGCCATGATGAGCACAGATGATTGACTGAAGTTGGTGATGTTGATTTAGGAGTCTTCGGCTTATAGGTCAGGTGTAAAACCCTTAAACCTGCTTGTCAAAGTTAGCTTGTCAAAGTCCTGTGGATTTTTCCAGACTGCCTAAATGTCACTTTCTCTTTGACGGTTTCTCTGGGCAGCTCTGGCAGGGTTAGGCGTCTCCTCTATTGTATTATTATAGCACCCTGATATATTCCTATAGCAACACTTATCAAACTATATTGCATTTGTCCATCTCCCTCCACTCATGGATAGAAACTATTCTCTTCCTTTTATCTCTGGACTAGAGCATTACCCAAATCAAGCTGGCTCTAAACAAGTAATAATTGAATGGATGGGCAAAGAATGACTAGTAATACTCTCCATCTGCACAGAATAGGTTATGATGCGTTCTCACATCGTGGTGACGAAGACATGGAAGGAACTATCACCCATATTTTATAAATGAGGAAACCCCAGAGACATTATACGACTAATCCAACTTCAAAACGGCTAAAAAGTTGCATACCTACTTTTCATGCCAGTAAGTTGACACGGATTTGTAAATAGAAGAAGTAGTAATCAGTAGGACAGATAGCAATGGCTGACAAAAGATACAGTGTAGGAGTGGTTACCTGTTATGAAAGCTCCTAAATTCGTAGCAGGTTCTCAAGAAGGTAACTTCCATGCACACAAAACCAGACTTCAGGTATTTACAATGAGAAAGATTTGTGACAAATAAATCATTTCCCTGTACCCAAGCTACACCCACAGTGAAGCCAGGAGACAAAGAGACATACCCTGTTTATGTATGTAGTACAAATATCTCTCTCTAATTCCCACCATGAATCATAGACTCTAAAAAGAAAGAAGTTCTTAGAGATCAGTAGCATAATTCTGTCATTTCCTAACTTACTTACTAGCTAACTGGCTAGAAACATAAATGACTTAACCTAACCACATAGCTTATTTGTGAGAGCACCAGGACATACAATTAGTTCTTCTTATCATTAATATTCTTAGCTTTTTAAAATTAAGTTATGATTGAGAGATAATATAAATATAGCTCTTAGGAAGTCTAAGCAACTGGATAATAAGACTAAACATAGGCTGTCACAGAAGAACTGTCCTTAAATAAATGCTGCAACATGAGAAAAGTATAGCAAATTTTACTCAGTGTCCATGTATTGGGGAGATGAGGGGCACATAATATGACAAGCAGTGTTTTAGGATTCCATTCATGTTAAAACAAAATCCTTTTTCATAGAGATTGACAATATTAATTACATTTATTTATCCCTTTCTTCATCCATAGACATTGATGCTATCCAAACTATTATTAGATTTCTCTTTTCCGTGTGTCAATTGAAGTATATTTACTAGTCCCCAATCCTTTTAACAGATTTTTTTATTCTTTTCAAAAACAATGCAAGTACTTTTGAGTGTGTTCTTATGTTTATGTCGTATTTACAACTTCAAAGTTTTGGAAAAAAACAACTCTATCAATAGAACACCTTTTACTACTAAAAAATAAAATATGCATGCCTATTAAGGGGCAAAGAACAAAGGCCAAACTAAGCTAATATTCTCAATAAAAAATAAGACAAATGATCATATTTATGAAAGTCTTTTGTTTAGTTTCTATCACCAAAGCTGGGGTGTGCTCTGGGTCACATGTCCTAAATCAGCAGATGAAAGCAAATGTTTTCTACAAGTATGTTTGTAGCTCATAGACTGTGTAAATGACACCAAAATCAAATTATTTCATGAGGCCAACACCATCAACTAAAAGAGAGAGCCTTATTTAGCAAATAATTGCTTTAAGGATAGAAACATACCTCAAACTGCAATGAATTAGTTTGTTGACAGATCTTCCTGCTGGGCATATTTGCTAGAATTCCTTCTTTAAAAAATGGACTTGATCGATATCAACTATTATGCACATCTTTATGTTAGGATCATAAAGATCACAGAGACTGTGCTTTACTATGCCTTCACTGAATGTAAAGCAGTATTTCTACAGCATTTATACAACAAAGCTTTTGCTTTCCTCTAGCATTGTAACTGGCACCCTGATGATCTACCGCCAATTAACGCTAATACTTACCGTTATCCCCAAGAGTTACAGTTTGAAGAAGGAGAGCCCACATTCCTAAAGAAACTTTAGGTATTTCAGGCCATTTATATCCTCCAATTTAGAATCAGTTTCTCATCTAGACTATGAAAGAAACTAGTTCATCAATCACAGCATTTTAATACCTTGAGTAGAAAAGGATTTTAGATGTTAATTTTTAAGTTAGGTAAAATTATAATATTATGCTGTTTAAAGAATCAGGGTCATTTGACTACCAACTCATTCATTTTCTATAAAATTTCAGCAGGAAAATTCCCATGTGTGCCTAAAGTTGAAGATAATTCATTTAGATTCCCATTATACGGTAAGCCAGCCAACAACTTTTATCCATGTCGCAGGTATAAAATATCTGTCAATTCCTGGTAAAGGGCTATAACATGAAATCAATGTTGTCAATAGGTAAATAAAATAAAATTCTTATGGAAGAAACCATTTAAAAATCAAAGCAACAAGCCTTGCAAGACTTTAAGATGTATTACTCACCAGGAATAAAGTTCGAAAGTTGTTGAGATCACCAAAGAATTCTTCTATGCTCACAGTCTTAGAGTCAAAAATAAAGTATTCTCCAAGATTCTCATAGAGCTTTACCATGTTGTTGTGCATGGTGAACAGTTTTTCATACTGGTCTCTGGCACTCTTTGTAAAGCTGTAGCTTTCTGTTAAGGAACATGATCCACATGGTACCTTAAAGGTAATCATTAGATGTTAAGATTGAATTATATCATCATTTCTGTAAATACTTCTGCATTACTTTGCTAAGGTTACCATGACAAATTACCACAGACTGGGTAACTTAACTGAAATTCATTTTCTCATAGTTTAATAGGCTAGCAATCCAATATTAAGCTGTCAGCAAATCTGCTTTCTTCTGTAACTTCTTTCCTTGGCTTGCAGATGACTGCCTTCTTGCTGTGTCCTTACCTGGTGGTCCCTCTGTCCTTGTTGTCTGTGTCCGAATCTCTTCTTAAGAGGATGCTAGTTATATTGTATTAGGGCCCACCTTAAGGACCTCATTTAAACTTACTTACCTCTCTAAATGTCCTATCTCCAAATACGGTCACATTTGGAAGTTTTGAGGGTTAGGGCCTCAACATATGAATTTGGAGTGGGTGGGGCACAATGCAGCCCATAACAACTTGCTGTAGTCATTACATTGTTTAGTGAGCTTTGAAAATCTATAAATGAGGCAGAACTATTTAAGGTATAACCACGAACATGTTTGCTAAGTGAAAGCACAGAAGTACAAACATCAGAAAACTGCCTCATATCTTTTTATGAGCTAGATAAGGTAAAAGGAAATAGCAACAAAAACTTAGAGGGAAAGTATGTATTTTCTGTGTTAAATACGCATTCTATATAGGTAAAGAGGTTACAGTGAATTCTGTATATAGGTTATGTACCTGTATGTGTGTGTATATACATATACATATATCCCATATGAGAAGGGGGAAGGAAAGGGAGAGAAAGATGGGAGGAGAGGAAGAACTATGAAGAGAAAGAGAGAAGAAGGGAGGGGAGAAAGGGGGAGAGAGACATTCTATTGTATCTCTAGAAACTTAATCACCCAAATGGCTTTTTAGAACCCAAAATGCTGTTTGTTGAGCCTGAGCCCAGGGCCCTGAGGATTAAAATTCTAATGTTTCCAGATGTTGCTGTGATTGCCAGTAGTGTATAACCCAGTAGGACCATATGAGCCTTCCCATGACAGACCCCATCCCCATATTCTCTGCTTTAGCTCCTCTCTGAAGTACCTAGATAATAGTATCTGTTGCACATTTTCTAAGTTGTTTTACAAATGCTAAAACCCCCACGAAATGGAAGATATTTAACTACTTGATGATCTTGTGCACTTAGCCCCCAGGTCTACTGGAGCCTAAGGACTGGTGACATTAACCCTTGTGATACCACCCTGTTATTTCGCCATCAACCAACCAACAAATAGAATTGTACATGAACTGATCACAAACCTTGAGACACGCCCCCACCCCCAAAATCAGGCCTTTAAAAATGCTTTGCTAAAAAACCCTTCAGGGAGTTTGGGGGTGTTAAGCAAAAGCCAACCAGACCCTTTCTCCTTGTCTGGTGCCTATAAATGCTACAGAGTCCTTCACCATAACCTGGTGTCAGTAGATTTGGCTTTACTGTGTGCAGGCAAGTGGACCCAAATTTGGTTAAATAATACCAGGACTACACTTACAGTAGTATACTCCAGAAGAGTATTTGTTTTAAAATTAATTACATCACTGCTTTAAAATTTTTTATCATCAAAGTCATAACAACCACCACTACTACCGAAGCATAAAAGGAACCAGATACGTAAATGGGTCCATCATCAAAAAAGCTAGAGAGTTCCAGAAAAACATCTATTTCTGCTTTACTGACTATGCCACAGCCTTTGACTGTGTGGATCACAAAAAACTGTGGAAAATTCTGCAAGAGATGGGAATACCAGACCACCTGACCTACCTCTTGAGAAACCTGTATGCAGGTCAGGAAGCAACAGTAAGAACTGGACATGGAACAATAGACTGGTTCCAAATAGGACAAGGAGTATGTCAAGGCTGTATATTGTCACCCTGCTTATTTAACTTATATGCAGAGTACATCGTGAGAAATGCTGAGCTGGAGGAAGCACAAGCGGGAATCAAGATTGCTGGGAGAAATATCAATAACCTCAGATATGCAGATGACAACACCCTTATGGCAGAAAGTGAAGAAGAACTAAAGAGCCTCTTGATGAAAGTGAAAGAGGAGAGTGAAAAAGTTGGCTTAAAGTTCAACATTCAGAAAACTAAGATCATGGCATCCAGTCCCATCACTTCATGGCAAATAGATAGGGAAACAGTGGAAACAGTGGCTGACTTTATTTTTCTGGGCTCCAAAATTACTGCAGATGGTGATTGCAGCAATGAAATTAAAAGACACTTACTCCTTAGAAGGAAAGTTATAACCAACCTAGACAGCATGTTAAAAAGCAGAGACATAACTTTGTCAACAAAGGTCTGTCTAGTCAAGGCTATGGTTTTTCCAGTGGTCATGTATAGACGTGAGAGATGGACTTTAAAGAAAGCTGAGCTCAGAAGAATTGATGCTTTTGAACTGTGTTGTTGGAGAAGACTCTTGAGAGTCCTTTGGACTGCAAGGAGAGCCAACCAGTCCACCCTAAAGGAGATCAGTCCTAAATATTCATTGGAAGGACTGATGTCGAAGCTGAAACTCCAATATTTTGGCCACCTGATGTGACGAGCTGACTCATTTGAATAGACTCTGATGTTGGGGAAGACTGAAGGCAGGAGGAGAAGGGGACGACAGAGGATGAGATGGTTGGATGGCATCACCGACTAAATGGACATGAGTTTGGGTAAACTCCGGGAGTTAGTGATGGACAGGGAGGCCTGGCATGCTGCGGTTCATGGGATCCCAATGAGTCAGACATGACTGAGCAACTGAACTGAACTGAAATGTATCTCATTATGTATATATTTATAGAAATAAATTATCAACTTTATTCCTGATTATAGAAGATATATAGAAAATCACCTCTTTAGGTGACTTAGAAATATAAAAACATAAGTAAACTAAAATTTCTAACAAATAAGTGTTGTGAACATTTTAAAGCATTTCCTTCTGGTCTTTCTTCTATGGCTGAAAGCTATTGAATGTTAATTGATAAGGATGCTTCAGAGAAAGGTAAGTAGACTAACCACAAAGAATACAAAGGAAACCAAATTACCTTTCACAATTAAAGTTAAGTCTATTAAAAATCAATGATCATCACAGAAGCAAAATGTCTTAAAATGCAAAGGTATTAGACTGCGTGCTACGTGTGCTAAGTCGCTTCAGTTGTGTCTGACTCTTTGCAACCCCACGACTGTAGCCCACCAGGCTCCTCTGTCCATGGGATTCTCCAGGGAAGAATACTGGAGTGGGTTGCCATGCTCTCCTGCATGGAATATTCCTGATCCAGGAATCAAACCCACATCTCTTACATCCTGTGTTGGCAGGCAGGTTCTTTACCACTAGTGCCACCTGGGAAGCCCATTACTATGATTTGTTAAAAAAGAATAACAGTACAGTTTTGGGTGTGCTATTTTAAGATCCACTACAGGGTCGGGAAAAGACCCTGATGCTGGCAAAGACAGAAGGCAAGAGGAAAAGGAGACAACAGAGGATGAGATGGTTGGATGGCATCACCTACTCAATGAGCAAGCTCTGAGAGATGGTGAAGGACAGGGAAGCCTGCTGTGTTACAGTCCATGGGGTTGCAAAGAGTTGGACACAACTGAGCAACTGAACAACAACAACAACAGGGTCAGGAAGATCCCCTACAGGAGGACATGGCAACCCACTGCAGTATTTTTGCTTAGAGAATCCCATGGACAGAGGAGCCTGGAGGGCTATAGACATGGTGACGCAAAGAGTCGGATACAACTGAAGCGACCTAGTATGCACACACTTATGCACACATGCACAGTGCATTCACATTTTGTGATAGTATTATTTTATCAGGTACTGATAACTGTCTTCTTGAAATGCTGGATTTTATAAAATTTTCTGAATTATTCAGTGTGTTTTATTACAACCTCGGGCCAAATTTATTTTCCATGGGAACAGAGCTCTAGTTTCACAATGGAAGTCAGTAGGGAAATCAGACTATTTCTGGAAAATTACTTTGCAGCTGACATTTATGGGATATAGCAGGATTTTAAAAGTGAGATGCCTCCCTTCCTAGGTTCCTTCTTATGCTACATAAGTTTTAGCATTCATGTTAGCTACACTTCAACCTCTTCCTTGCTAAGGAGTCACATTAAATCTTTCAATCCTCAAGTCCATTTTGCTGTCAATAGACCTGGAAGAATTAATGTATTTCTGACTTACTCTACTTTCTTTTTTACCAACAGAAGGGTTGCACGTAATGCTACCTGATTTTCCCTCTGAGAATTTCATATTTGTTTGATTTTTAAGAGAGTGTTGAACATCCTGTTTGAGAGCTGCAGAAATAAGACAGTTCTCTTTATTTCTTGCCACAGAATGAAAGTGAAATTTTTGTTCTCTAGTCTCTCTTGCCTAAATAAAACAGACTCATGCCAGACTTGCTAAGAACACACGCTTTGCAAAGGTCACTTACTTACATCCTATTTGCAGCAAGGTACTAAACCATGTGTACTTCAGAAGGTTCAACATCTGTACAACACAGAGAAAAAGCTAAAGATTTTTTAAAAAGGCAAAAAACTGTACATTTCCCATTTATCATAACACAATTTTCTGCCAGCTAAAATATGCCCATGTGGTGATACACAATTTCTCAAATTTGTTCTCCTAGAAGAAAAACTGATTTCAGAAATTCTGTCTGTATACCAAAGTGAGAAAATTTGAAAAATTCTGGGAAAGCTGTAGCTTAGAATTAATAACTGGAGAGCATCCCAATCTCCAAGTCCTTCACTTCTCTTCACAGTGATTACTTTGTAAAAGGAATGGAGGGCGTGAATCAGCACTGTAATTTTTCACAATCACAACCCTGTCACCAAATCCTACTTGGGATTCTGCAGATGAAAGAGAACTAGATACCATCATTTCTTTCCACTACTTTATTTTCAGTCATT